TTTTTTTTTTTTTTTTTTAATATTTTGACTAACGTTTGGGTCTATTGATTTTTTTATCTCGTCTTATCGTGACGTAATCGAGTACTTTTGTCAGATAATTAAAATTTTCGATGACTGTGCTTTTTGAAATTACGTGTCTGTTGACGCCTTCGATGACGTCACTGCAGGAATCGTCATGACAATCGTACTAATAGCACGACGTTCTCAAATGACGTTTCACTAGACAACGAAGATTCGTTATCTGAAGATAATCTAACGAATTCAATTGAACGCTGCTGCAAGATAATTATAATGATTCGTTGAATTAAAAAAAAAAAAAGAATTCCCCGAATACGTTAATAACGACCCAATCGATGAAGCGCATATAAAACTGTGCGGCAGCCAGCGCTAACGAAGCAGCGAAAATCATTGGAGAAAGTTGAATTGCGCGTAACACTTGAAATAGTCTGAATATTCTATTTATAGGAATTCTGCCTACTCGGATCGACTATGCGCACGTAATTTTTCAACGTGCGTAAAATCCGACGTTGTGGACCGTCAAAAAAACATAGAAAAAAAAATTTAACCCCCATTGATTTTTTTCAGGCTCGCTGAACTTCATGCCGCGAACCCTCAGGCGCATCAGGGACGAAGGCGCCGAGCTGAGACACGCATACGTCACGACGCCGATGTGTTGCCCTAGCAGAAGTTCACTACTGACTGGCCGTTACGTTCACAATCACGAAGTCTTTACGAACAATGACAACTGCAGCAGTCCTCAGTGGCAACGGGATCACGAGCCTCATTCATTTGCCGCTTACCTGAGCAATGCCGGATATCGTACCGGTGAGTCTTGGATTTATTGTGTTGTGTCGTGTTATTAGTTCGATACGTGCAGTCCAGGGCGTTGCGTGCGATAAATAGGCGACGACAGCGACACCGATTGTCGGGCGGCATAACGCAAGACTAGCCTATAGGAGGAACGATGGACGCGAACCGGCCGGTCGGTGGCGCTTTTGAGAAAAGGCGGGGAAATTCAAATGTGCTATTCGAGTAGATGTGGAGTTGAGATTTCGACGTGGCTGGTATTATGTTTGTTTGCGGGACGGAAGAGACATCTGTTTACTGGAGCATGTCGAGATGCGTCACGTGAGATTTTTACTTTGTGTCGAAACCTTTTTTTTTTATTGGATCGCTTGAATACAACGAGCGACGTGAGAGAATTTTAGGTTAGAATGTACGAGAAGAGTATTTTTTTTTGTGAGGTGATTCATTTTTTATATGTTCGTTAGTGCATCTGTACTAATGTTTTCAGTGACGCAGGTATCTATGTAGAAGGTATGGAAGCGATCGGAGCGCTATTGGTGTAATTAACGTGATACAAAGAACTGGCGAAGGTTGAAGTTCTACGTAAGTTTAGTTCTGGGTCGTGCGTCAGTATAGGGAGAACGAAGTTATATTTATTTCGTATAAATTACGCCACTGCACTTGGGATCCATTATCGTTGGATTCTTAGGATCGAACAAAGATCGGTAGCCGACAGAGGACGTACAAATATTCTGAGCATACAGACGCTACGAGAATAAGGAACCTGAATGGCGAAAGAGGGGGTGGCCCTTACGTTTGTATACTTAGGCCGCCAGTGGGCCCAGGTTTCCATCGACCGTCTCTTGTGTATATAGGCTTTAGTAGCGACACTGGCGCCCTCTGACTGTTTTTCGTACCACTTCTCTCGTTCGCCATCTTTCTCTCCGCTGGTCACGCAGGACGTTCACCTCGGGCTTTGAAACGGAAAAATCACGCGTTACGTAACACTTGATAATTCACGTGAAAACTTTAAATCGCTCGGGTCTCTTGAATTTATTTCAAGGCCGTAACGAAGGAGCGCTACCGCCATCTATCGGCGGATTAGCTAGTCTCGTTCGAATGCCCGTCTATAAGGACTCGCAGATAGTTCTGTGACCGTACTTGGAAACTTTTTTAATGGCATTCGCACTGGCACATATTCCATTGGGAATAAAGCCATAAGGAAAGGAAGTAACGGGGTTCGTAAATGTTTTTTATTACTGTTTTATGACTGTTGTTAACATTTCAGCGGATTATTAAGATTCTACGAGTTTCGACTGTCGTTAACTGTTTCCATGGCTACTTCTTGATGGTCTATTTGAAAACACGACGTTTGCCTCTTAGTGCTACGGTGTAATAGCTATCGATCGAGAAACCGTTTAGCATCGAATATATCTGTATGGTATTGAGATCCACGTGTAGGAGTAACAAGGTTCTTTCATATTTAGTGACGGCTTACAACGTCCATGGATGATTATATATTTTTGACGATACCACCGACGGGTTCACAATGACGATTTTGTCGTTCTGTCACTTCCTCAATATAATCTCTCCAACGTTCTGTCACAACAGGCTAATGCTTCAGGATGAGAATTATGTTACTCGGGAACTTGTGTATAATAGGGGATTAGAGAAACATGGTGACTGCTGCTGACATCGAATTTAATATGTGATTTCAAGTTTCTGACGGATATCCATATACATATGTATGTCGTATGACAGTTCGACTTTCTTTATCTACAGCCGGAATCAGCTGTTCGGTGTCATGGCGGCGATACGATAGTCTACGGCAATTTTGATTTTTTCTATTGAATGACATTGAAATGTTATGTACGATCTAAAAAGTCAGATCCGAGTATGAGCGTGTGTATTATGCATGTGAAAATTTTTGAATCGATTTTTCCAAAATTGAGCACGTTTAAACGAAATTTTGTAAATATTACTAATTGGGCAATTGAAAAGTAACTAGGGACGAATGTTATTTTATTCTTGGTCGCCAATCTCGTTCCAAGAAGCTGGTTCAAAAAGTATGAATGAACGAGGGAATCCGATGGTGATGAGGAAAAAAGGGGGGCCCCTATTTAAGGCCCGTTCACATCGGCAAGGGCGCTGAGAACGTTCGCGAAGGGTGGGAACTGGTTTTCTTATCGTAGCGCAGTGTCCCTGACCAGAATACTATGGCGACCAGGCGACAAATTTTCTCGGCTATCTTCCCGAGAGGATCTTGTCACGCGCGCATACATTACTCGGGTCTCGGTAACCATTTAAGGGGGCGCTTAGGACTCCTTGTCTTGAAATTCTAATACCCCGGAAGGGTAAGGTTGGGCGAGCGCCTAGTTTCAGGCTGGCGCGGATGCCGTCTTAGGATGAGAATTTTACAAGGCAACTCTGCGGCGAAATGTATTATTTGGATTCGGCGAGTTGAAGGCGCGCTTAGGACGCTTCCGCGTTATTTATCCACGGGTAACCTTAAGGCGCTGTTAGAACCTTCGATCAATATTTTTTTTATTCGACCAACATTTTTTTGAGATTTCATTCTCCGATTAAAATTGAACCCCCCTACTTTTTTTTGGAAAATAAAAATAAAACAGTTTTTTAGGTTCGAGGGTAATTTTTTCCCAAAATTTCGGCTTTTTCACGAAAAACTCAATTTAGCAACCGGGGACAATTTTTTTTTTATCGGAAGTCATGGACGCGTCTTTAACGGACTTTTTCGATTTACGGAGCAGTTTCTCTCACGTGACGTGTACTCTGGCAATGATAAGGCCACACACAGAGGCAGATCTTAGCTGGGATAAATCGAGAACACGAGATGCTTCGAAATTTTTCCAACATACAGATACACGTGATTCGAAATTTTTGAAAAAATTATAAAATTTCATTAATCTTACAAACCCCGCTCGTCGTCCAAATTCAAAAAGTCATAATCAAAAAAAAAAAATAAAATGTAACCTATAAACTGCAAAACGTAAATACCAGTAATTAATTCATTATCCCATCAGAAGTCACTAATCATCATACCAGTCACATTAATTTACGACCTATCATAATTGTCGCTCGATTAACGAAGTACGAGAATCCGACAGAGGACAAAAGGGAAAAATAAAATTGCAAAAAAACAGAAGGAAATCTTAAGCCCGTTATCAAGGATGCAATTATTGAGCGATTTCAAATTAGCATACTCCAGAGCGAGACACGTGTCTAATTGCACCGTGTATGCCGACTAATTATCGGTCAAATCGTTGGATCGAATTAATTGGAATCGAAGCGTATCAATTTGGTCGGTCACTTTTATTACCGCCCTCTCGACTCGACGGGCATCGAATCGAAGCGAGACGAAGGGAGAGAAAACGAAAAAGAAAAAAAGGAGAATGAACTTCGCAAATAAAATCCGACGGACAAGATGACCGATAATAATGTTCAAGATGGCTGCCGTTGGATATCTTAATCGAATATCTGATATCTTAATGAAATTCTACGAAAGTCTCGTCACCTGTATCGCCTGCTCGAAAAAGTCTTTAAACGACAGATGCATATAGCAATGCAATTCCTTGGGTTAATCTATAGGGTCGACGTTGAAAAAAAAATTTCTCGTCTCGTTTATTTATTTTTTTATCCCCGCTGCAACGCTGCAGTTCAGCACAGAATGCACCGTAGCACAAACCATTGGCAATTTAGTGCATTTACAAGAATGGCTTTGGCTACAGTGCATTTCAAAGTATGACGAATGCCAATGGGTATTGCATACAGAGAAAAATATATATGTACTGAAAAAAAAAAAAAATACATAAATTCGTAACACTAAGACGGGCCGGGTATTGGGAATACAGGAATTACTTATTTTTTCTCTCTACCCTAGAGGTTAGGTTAGGCTGGGGGGTAATGCACTCAGGCCGTGAATATTGTACGGCGTCTATAGTGAAGTGCAGTACATTTCCACGTTGTCGATCAACTATATTTATTTATTTAATCCATTTTTCTTCTATACTTACAGGATATTTCAAAGTTTAACGAACATCAATTTTTGTCAATTTTAATATTTGCCATATTCATTGACGTTTTTATGATATTTTGTTTTTATCCAACGAGTATGACGAAACTGTAACGACCTGTAGCAGAGGATATCTGCTAGGTAATATTATACATATATATAACCTTATCCTGAACTTTGTACATTTTTCATTCTTATGGTTATAAGGGGTACCTAACCTGACCTGTAGTAGCAGGTCGTTTCAAAAGACGACCAATGTCGATTACACGTTCTTTAAGGACGATATACGTGAAAGAGAAACATATTTCGTTCGTAATAAATTATCGTGACGTTTAATACATTCCTTTCTTAGCGATAATAGCGCTCATAAATACAGCCTTAAGGAAGCCAAGTCGTGGCTGCGCGAAGAACGTTGTTTTAAGCGTCTCAGTCAAAATATTATAAATCGACCTGTACAACAAAGCTCGATTGTTGGCAATGTAAAAACATTCAGGCGCCCTTAATGATTTACCGTAGGTAACGAATTAGGCCTGTAGCCACGTGAGCGCTTATGATGTTTTGAAAATGGCAGGTGACGTTACCGTCGGTTTGAGGTTAGGTTGGATCAGATTAGATTAGATTAGATTAGGGTTAGATTGCGTACAGGGAATTTCCGGTTTGTGATTGTAATAGGTTTAACAAGGATGTTATTGTTGTCGTTTTGAAAAAAAAAAGTGTCGTTACTCCGACCCAACCTAATCTGTCCTGACCTAACCTACATTCAGTCAAGTTAACCTACAAAAATGACAGTCCATGCGCTTACTCGCTTAGGGCATCATTGGATAGGACTACACCGTGACTTTAGTCATCGTGTCCCATGACCCGTGGAAAATAAATGACCTTGCTGATCCTTATCTCTAGCCAATCTCAACTGTCATGACTGTCTTGATAACTGAGTCCGATTGATTTTACCGACCGAGGCTCGTGTGTGCACGTACGCGATATGGAGATAATTCAATTTGTTATTTATAGTCGACCCGGTATATCTTAACTATTTTTAGGAACGCGCTATATAAGTGCCCAGATGCATTAAGACCATGTGCCAAGGGACTCGTGCCAACTACCCAAAACAAAATTTTTTCTAGAATGAAGTCGGAGCGGGGGGAGGGGGGAGGTGATTATTTAGGTATTTTTGGTATGTACAGGAATAAAATTTGAAAATTTTTTTTCGTAAATTTGTTTACGTGGGATTTTTTTTTGTAGGAAATTTGACAATTTTTCTGTTTTCTTTTTTTTTTTGTAAGGATGCTTTTGAAGCATACAGATCCATTGAACATTTGCAGGGCCTTTTACAGGCTCTGGGAGAACTTCAGACTGCAGACTATAGACTTTGCGCCCGCGCCCTTTTTTTTGTTCCCTTTCACCCTTTCACTCCTTTACACGTTTACACTTTCACCCCTTTCATGTACCGCGAGTGCTTGAATAAAAAAAGAGGCCTCTTGGTGATTTTCGCGGCTCAACTCCGGCTGTTTTGAAAGAGTGGAATTAATTATCGAGTAATATCGCGACTGTGGACGAATTTTGAAAATATTTTTGAAATTTTCCCAAAACTTTATCGACTTTACGTGCATGGATTCGGCCGAACAGAAGTCTGGGATTGCAGCTCCATTCCTTATGTGTTTGACCTAAAATCCTCTTGACTTGCTATATAAACTACGTTCGACCCGACTGGAGCCAGTCGTGTGGAGCCGCCATTATAAACAGATTACGTAGCAGAAAGTTGAAAATGACATCGAAGACAGGACGCCGATGATGATGTAAGAAATTCGGAGAATCGTGATACTGCACATGTATTATCTGTCATATTGACTATTGTGATTCGATAAATTTTTTTTATATCGATTTCGTACAATTTTTGTCATTACGATGAATAAGACTTTTTTTTTCTCAATAACAGTTACAATGTATTATCCCCGATCGATAATCGATAATATCGAATAATCCAGATTTTCCAGTATTCATCGATCTCGATCATCCGTCATTGAAATTGCATATCTCCATCTTTTGCATTGACCTATATTTTCCTGCTATTCCATCCGCACTCCTCTTGTTCCATTTTTTTTTGGACTTTTATAGGTATATATTTTTTTTTTCATGCAGCATCCGACTGGCGCCAGGATATCACGTGGCAGTCTCGTCCTTCCTTTTTGCTCGTGGCGGCTTTGTCGGCGGTGAACATTTCTTCTCTCCTTCCTTCGTAAACGTTCGCCGTCACTTGGACATTTCGTTATTTTCATTTTAATTACACGTGCCTCCCTTGTTTACCCCTTTTTCACCGTAATCACACGAGTGCAACAGGTACATCCGAAATATTTCGTACGATGCGTGAATAATTTTGAAAAAAAAATATATATACATCTATCATACCAAAATTCTTAGCCGGTCATTTATTAATTATGCAAGTAAGTCGAGGAATTCAAAATGCAAGGGTTTCTCGTATACTTTCCTCGTCGGCCTTCGGAAAGCCAAAAAAGATATTAAGAACAGGTAAGGTTAGTGGGACGAAGAGACGCGCCACTGGTGGCCTCTAACGTGCGTCCTTTGAATTAATTATTTGATGGGCCAACAGCATATGAATTATTCAAGGTGGGGAGGGTTACGAAGATTTATCTCAATAAGGGATATATTCACGGGTGCCTTTATAAAAATAACGTAAAACTCAAAAATGAAATTAATTTTGGATTTATCGATTACTAAGAAAAAAATTTTGATTTGGTCGTTGGTATTCGAATAAAAAATTTTCATCAGTGGCCATTTTCAATGGTATTGTTTTATCGGCAAATAATAATAATAAAGGCAGAGTCGTAAATGGACCCTTTTTTTTTTGGTTTCAGGCTACTTTGGCAAGTATCTGAACAAATACAATGGCTCGTATATACCACCGGGATGGAGGGAGTGGGGTGGCCTCATAATGAATTCACGCTACTACAACTACAGCGTTAACATGAACGGCAAGAAGATCAAGCACGGCTTTGAATACGGCAAGGATTATTATCCCGATTTGATAGCCAACGACAGCGTTGCCTTTTTGCGGCAGAGCAAGCACAACTTTGCACGTAAACCGGTGATGCTCGTTGCCAGCTTCCCGGCGCCGCATGGACCGGAAGATTCGGCGCCGCAATTTTCCCACCTCTTCTTCAACGTCACGACTCACCAGTAAGTACATGCAAGATCAAATGCACTGGTAATTAAAAAAAAATTTGGTAGGAAAAAATTTTTTGAAATAGATAAAAAGATTTTAGGAAATTTCACATTTTTCAGAATTTCCTTCAAATATTCAGGTTCGCGCGTTCTTTTGCCGAGTCTACGAGACAGAAGGTTCGACCAAGCCGTTTTAGCTGGGAGATAGGAAACTTACGCGGATTAATTGTCGACCGGTGGATAATAGTAAAAAAATAGATGCAGTTTGGCGTTGATGAGAAAAGAGAATGAAATAAAGACAAAGACAAAGAATAGAGCGGAGACGCTTTGTGAATGTCGGAGTTGGCCGTCGGTTCTTTGTTGTTGTTGTTGTTGTTGTTGTCTGTCGACAACGTAACACGCGAGACGAGTACTACGTGAGTCAGTGGGCATGAAAAGGGACTAGACTGAAGTGCTGCTATAGTATTTTGCGTTGGAGGCTAAAATATTTTGTTCACTGCCAGAGTCAGTCAAGACACTATTGGCTCTTAGGAGTCTGTCTCTATTGTTTTTTTTTCCTGGAACGATTAGATTCCCGAATGGTGTTTTATAAAATGTACATTCGAAGGGTGACTAACTTCGCGCGTATTCGTAAAATTGTTTGTGTTCGGGAAACTGATGTTTTTTTTTTTTTTACGAAAAAATAACCTTGCGGAGAGTATGGTATTTATGTTATTTTTTTTTAACATATGGGGTATCGGTATGCAGGACTTTTCTTGACTTTGAAAAAATATTTATAGAAGCCAGCTAGAACGTATTCGTGAAATATTATGACGGCCCTGACTTCTTGTACCATTTAGTTTTGACTTTTAGAAAAAGAAACAGAATGTATCTTCTCTCAAGATTCGATCGCTTCGATGCTTTTAATGTGCTGCGACCAAGCTCCTCTATGCTGTTTTTGTAATTACACGAAATTTTTGGAATATTTCAGTTGGAACATTTATCGATGAAAATTTGTACTAAAATTTTTCAAATTTTCATTATGGCTTTGTACATAATAATTAATAACGTCACGAGGTGCTTATTCGAGCAATTAATAGAATACTGAAATTTTGGTAAATTGTGGGAATACAGTTTTTTTAGCTATAGTACATTCGTCATATCTCGTGGAACATGGGACAGCGAGGGTTGGTGATATTGGAGAGGGGAGTAGCGTGATTCATTGAATTTTCATGAAAAGACTAATGGAGTATAGTAGTATAGAGTATTCATACGGTGGTTAATTACCGGTTCAGGGAATTAATTAATTTTCATTTAAACGGCCGTTTAATCCATAATGAATTTTTTTTTTTTTTTGATGAAATTTTTGTATCAGATTTTATAGTAAATTCGATAAAATTATATTCACGTGACGTTTTAATAATAATGGTATGGTATATGTTGTATGATAAATTAATATTTTCGAGATTGTATAGTATGCAATTTTTTTTTTGGAAATTTTTTATGGAACGTTTTCATTCGTACCTTCTCAGCTTTCTGGTGAATAGCCAATGCTTAAGAAGTAGAGTGCTAGACGCTATTGTTGGGTGAGAAATTTAATTTTCTCGCGCACTCACTTTGCCATTTCAGAGAAGTAGAGAGAGAGAGAGAGAGAGAGAGAGAGAGAGAGAGAGAGAGAGAGAAGAGTAGTAGGTATTCTCCGCAATTTCTGTTGTCTAATATTTTCTGAAAAGCTTCGCAGGTCTATCTTGAAATTAAAGTTCGCAACGAAGGATTTCTGAAAACGTCAGAGAAATAGTAAAAAAAAGAAAATTTAGCTTTTACCCAAATTAAATTTTCGACTAGTTTTCCTCGCTGCGTTACCGTAGAAACATTTTTGTGAGATATATATTGACGTCAATTATATATATTGAAAGATAAGACAACAAGCAGTTCGTATATTATTGCGTATGCTGCAAAAAATGAAAAATAGATTTTGAAAAAATTCTATTGTTAAAATTAAATCGACCACACGTGACTATTTGTTTATCTGTTATTCGTTTTTATTGTGTTTTTATATAGCTCGAAGTCTCTAGCCGCAAGCATGAGATATCGAGGAATGCCACGAGATAATTTGAAAAAGTCTGCGTGCCGCTGAGTTCCAAAATTAAACGGGGGACCCATTGTGTCGAGATTCCGAAATGACGTGAAAAAAAAAAAA